GCGCTGACTGAGGACTTCACCCCCGTCTTTGAACAGGCCAGGTGGAAGGTCATCCGGACCGGGAGCTCGGTGGCGCTTGAGAGAACATATGCAGTCGTAAACCTCCGAGGCAGTAGGTATTCCACGTTGGGCCTCTTCCATTTCTTTGACTTTCTGTTGCTGCAAGACCCTAACCGCATGCTTGAGGATGAGCAGACTACCGTAATAGACAAACTTATCTACACAGTAGCTATATTAGTCCCTTCGGTCTGTCCAAAGGCCAGAGAAGCTTTAATAAACCTGCATCACCTGTGGCATAAACGTGCCATCAGCGCTGCGTTGCGTTCCATGTTATCATACGGATCAGAACCTTGGCCGCTGCGCGCTGAGGACGTCAAGACTTTCAGTGTTTAACCACCGGAGTCTTCGGAGCACTGCTCGAGTCTGGTGGGGACACCGGATCACAGTAGTGCTTAAGTACGTCGAACAGTTTTCGGGAGAGATAACTCGCTCACAATAGATGAACTGATCACACTATATAAGGTACGCTGGTTTGGTTACGTGTTCCATAAGTCAGTCGAACGAATTTCTCGAAGAGCTCCTTTGGCACAACCACGTGCAGAGTGAAAACGAGCCAGGAAAGGTGAAGCAATGACTGACAGCGAAGTATGAAAGCCAGTACCAACAAACTAAGTCGCACCAGTCATTGATGTCTGCCTAAGTGGGACCCCGAAACGGGACACATCAGCGGTTAGGATAACTCACAGATATGACCCAGTCAGTCAGTGGTGAATGTGTCCAAGCTATTACCTTCAGTACACAGACTCATCAAGCGATCTCATTAACGGAAAGGCCACTATCACTTCGGATTGAAACATTAACTGTATCAACTACTACATCCAATGCGTAGCTATAAACCCGTATCTGCCCAGGTCATCGAGGAGTGGAAGTGTGACAGCTATAACCACCATGTTTACGGCTGATGTTGATGTACCTTAACTGACCACAAATGATCCTAGGTGATCAAACCTGCAGCACTCAGCCAAGCCAACTGTCAGGAAGACCATCGCTAACACTGATTCGAGGCCGTATTCACCGCGTCTTTAGTCAATCCCAGAATATCGTGTCATATGCAATGCAAGATATCGTATCGCATTCTATGACTTACATATCTGAGCATTCAGCCCGTTGTAGAAGTTATACAAGACTCACCAAGTCATACAAGACCGAACCGCCGTATTTTGTGACACCAGAAGCATGATGAGAAGTAGAATCCATCCAGTTACGTACCTGAAAAGAGCTGACAATCACCGACTTATTCCGGCGAAGGTAATCTTCCCAGGCTTTTACAGAGCGTTCTTTGGGATCCAGGTGTTCTTCATCCACATCCTCCTCATCACCTGTGGTAATCGTCCGAGTTCCCTGAGTGAAGGGAAGAACAGAGTGAGTATGAAATTTGTCTGGAATGTGAATGAAAAGTACGGTAAAACTCCAATTGATATGTGATCATTTAGGATTTAAATACCATCACTGGTGACAGAGATATGAGGAGGAACGCTACCTGCCAGTTGCCCGAAGCGAGAGTTTGCGCACGCTACCAAGCTCATGTTTTGAAATAAAAGATTTGATCCGCATGGTCCTGAGACCTTGCCCGTGGCTCCTGGTTCAAAGGCGGGTGTTAGAGTTTCACTCGGGAATCCCACTAGGAGTAGGTGGCTAATGATTTTTTATTCACTTAGTAGCAGGAGATTTACCCAACCAATGGGCGAAAAAAGGTGGAACAAAAGAGCCTGCTAAGCATGAGGGATACATTTGGAGCCATAACATGCTTTCGCTACGCCCTATCGAATAACAAGTCATCGTTGATGTTCGACAAGTGGGTGCTCGGATTGTGTAGTTATTGCGGCCGGCCTATTCTAACCGGTACTTCCCCAGAAAGACGGTAATACTGCTACCGTAACTAAGAGACATTGCTAACCTAGCTGTCTTGCTTTAGTCTGCTTCACATGATTGAAAAGTGAGGAACAGAGTGAATCGAGTGCATCTGAGAACCCGACCTCCAAGTTTCTGACTCACATACAAGAATCTCATGAACTGCAACGTTTTGATACTAACAAGTCGATCGACATCGTGATGGCATCGTGGGCTGACAAACCACCCCAACTATCACTATTTCGAGAGACCCATGCGATTATAGGGCTCAGTAAACAAACCGAGGCTACTGCACTAACGTGTAGTCTTGCACAAAATGGTGGCGAAATAAATTCAGACTAACGTAGCCTGGGAAACTCGACGTAGGTTAGATATTGGGGTGCAAGGTCTTCAGTGCAAACTTACTCTTTGAGTTTGGAGAAGTCGCGTCTAATTGGCCTAGCCTGTCTGACAGTAACTGACAATACCCTCAGGTTGTGTCCCAAATAGACCCCGGAAGGCAGCCATAACACCACGATGCAATCAAAATAATCTCTATACCTAGTCTAGCACAAGACTCTTTGGAGTTAATGGGTAAACCAAGCCAGAAAAAAGTTGAGTTGCCACAAGCCTTAGAGATGTGCGAGAGGATACATCCTCATGGATAAACCACAAGGATTAGGTCAACAGTCATCAGTCTGATGTAACTTCAGTAATCAATATGATATCCTTCCTTTTTCAAAGAGTTTATACAAGACCTCTGTTTGCACTCTGATATCGCATAAATGATAAATTGTATTGTGTTGGACAGATTAGTATTTTCATAACTGTCTTGTGCTTAGCTCAGCGGGATGCGCTAGCTCGTTCTGGATGCTTCTAACAGCCCCAGCAAAACTTGAAGTCAATGGCCGATGTACAGTCACTTGTGACCAAAAAGTTAGCATGAAGGGTGTCTGACTTTCTTGGTTTGCAAGCAGTTCCGAGACTGATCACTCGAATGAACGGTTCAAAAGGAATTGGTGAAATCTAACAAGACAGACAAAACCCGTGATCCACTAGGACGCCGTTGCCTCCTTTGAGTAAGTAGCGCTAGAGTAAAGTGGTGCTTTCTAATGAGGGTGCTCTTATGAAGCGGCTTATCCATCTCCAGTGCTCAAGCAACTCTCAGCAGATTTTGTGTCGGGTACCACTGTCTCACCAGAGGACCACTTCAATAGGTAAAATAAAGAAGAGGGCTAAAATTTACGAGAAATTCTCTGTAAAGTACGACCGTCTAGATGAGTACCCAAAGAATCCTTCATCTTGCACCAACAGAAAACCAAGTTGATGGTCAATGGTCCCCTTGCAGGTTGAATACGTCACGCATGTCCTACCGAAAGTTCGGGCGCGTTGAAAATAATGTTACGTTACAAATAGACAGCGAATGAAACGTGACTGCAAACGTGACTGCATTAGTGTCTCCAACGAGGATAGACAGTCTTAGTGAAGACGAGAGCACCTTAACAACTCACTTCATTCATATCTTCATGCAACCCATCCAGCAGGAAAATGAGGAACTCAAGGCTGTCCTGTTGTTCTGAACCAGCGAAGGTGGATCGTACTCGGCCGACGACTTTCTATGAACGGAAAGAAAATTCGAATGTATTATGATGACATAAAATGGCCGGAAAAAAAACATAAAGAGCTATAAAACGCACCTTAAATTCGGTCAAATCCTCATAACAATCCAGTTTTGACCAAAGAGCGGTGAACAATCGCCGGAAATGTGTGGACACGGTGCCTCCATATCCCAAAGGATTAGTCCTGTTCATGAAATTGTCGTCCAGTCCACGGAGAAAGAAAGTGGCCAAAGCGCGAGTGTGTGCGAGAGACTGCAACACGGCATTCATATAGCAAGTGTTGCCAAGATTTCGCAAACCGGTGGGTCGGAGATGACAAGAGGGAAACTGGGGTAGGGGTTCTGTGGAATGGGGATGAAAAGCAGAAAGCACACAAGTGAATCAGGAAAGAAAATTTTTGTACCTGTATACGGAGAAGCAATCCATTTTTCAAGGGGACGTAACAAAGACGAGCTTATCAGTGATACATAAGGAGAAAACTCTCCTCTGCGTATTGCTTCTAATTCTGTCCTTCGAGTTTGTAGTGGAATGCACCATGAATGTTAGATTACACACACGCTGGAATCCGTACTTAGAGAATTGGTGAGGGCCAAGGCTAATTCAGGATTCATACAGATGGACACTCTACATATCAGGGTAAGCGGTCGGGAAAGAGACTGAGGGGAGCCACTGATTTAATTGCGTTAGTTTAGTTTAGTTTGTCAGCTGTAAACTTCGAAATGCTGGAGGGATGGCCACGCACTGAAGGCAATTGTCTAACAACTTCGCCGTCGGTGAATGGATACACAAACCTCGTGGAGTCCAGGGTGGAACAGTTACACATTGAAAGCTGTCTGGATTCACNTAGTGTCTCAAACGAGGATAGACAGTCTTAGTGAAGACGAGAGCACCTTAACAACTCACTTCATTCATATCTTCATGCAACCCATCCAGCAGGAAAATGAGGAACTCGAGGCTATCCTGTTGTTCTGAACCAGCGAAAGTGGATCGCGCTCGGCCGACGACTTTCTATGAACGGAAAGAAAATTCGAATGTATTATGATGACATAAAATGGCCGGAAAAAAAACATAAAGAACTGTAGAACACACCTTAAATTCGGTCAAATCCTCATAACAGTCAAGTTTTGACCAAAGAGCGGTGAACAATCGCCGGAAATGTGTGGACACGGTGCCTCCATATCCCAAAGGATTAGTCCTGTTCATGAAATTGTCGTCCAGTCCACGGAGAAAGAAAGTGGCCAAAGCGCGAGTGTGTGCGAGAGACTGCAACACGGCATTCATATAGCAAGTGTTGCCAAGATTTCGCAAACCGGTGGGTCGGAGATGACAAGAGGGAAACTGGGGTAGGGGTTCTGTGGAATGGAGATGAAAAGCAGAAAGCACACAAGTGAATCACAAAAGAAGATCTTTGCACCTGTATACGAAGAAGCAATCCATTTTTCAAGGGGACGTAACAAAGACGAGCTTACCAGTGACACAGAAGGGGAAAACTCTCCTCTGCGTATTGCTTCTAATTCTGTCCTCCGNCGTCACCTGTGGTAATCGTCCGAGTTCCCTGAGTGAGAGGAAAAACAGAATGAGTATGAAATTTGTCTGGGGTGTGAATGAAAAGTACGGTAAAACTTCAACCAATACGTCATCATTTACAATCTAAATACCATCACTGGTGACAGAGAAACGAGGAGGAACGATACCTGCTAGTTGCCCGAAGCGAGAGTTCGCGCGCGCTACCAAGCTTATGTTTTGAAATAAAAGATCTGATCCACATGGTACTGAGATCTTGCCCGTGGCTCCTGGTTCAAAGGCGGGTGTTAGAGTTTCACTCGGGAATCCCACTAGGAGTAGGTGACTAAAGATTTTTTATTCACTCAGTAGCAGGAAATTCACCCAACCAATGGGCGAAAAAGGTGGAACAAAAGAGCCTGCTAAGCATGAGGGATACATTTGGAGCCATAACATTCTTTCGCTACGAATCAGTTATTTTTGCGCCCCATCGAATAACAAGCCATCGTTGATGTTCAACAAGTGAGTGTTCGGAGTGTGTAGTTTTTGCTGCCGATCTATTCTAACTGGTACTTCCCCCAGAAAGACAGTAATACTGCTACCGTAAATAAGAGGTTTTGCTAATCTAGCTGCCTTGCTTTAGGCTGCTTCATATGATTGAAAAGTGAGGAACAGAGTGAATCGAGTGCATCTGAGAACCCAACCTCCAAGTTTCTGACTCACATACAAGAATCTCATGAACTGCAACGTTTTGATACTAACAAGTCGATCGATGTCGTAATGGCGTCGTGGGTTGACAAAAACCACCCCAACCATCACTATTTCATTTTTTGCTCAGACCCATGCGATTATAGGGCTCAGCAAACCGAAGCTACTGCACTAACGTGTAGCCTTGCACAAAATGGTAGCAAAATAAGTTCAAACCAATATAACCAGGAAAACTCGACGTAGGTCGGAAATTGAGGTGCAAGGTCTTCAGTTCAAACTTACTCTTTGAGTTTAAAGAAGTCGCGTCTAAATGGCTTAGCTTGTCTGACAGTAACTGGCAATACCCTCAGGTTGTGTGTGTACTAGGCCCCGGGAGGCAGCCACAATACCACCATGCAACCAAAATGCTCACTATACCTTGTCTAGCACAAGACTCTCTGGAGTTAATAGGTAAACCAAGCCAGAAAAACCTTGATTTGCCACGCACCTAAGAGGTGTGCAAGAGAATACATCCGCACGGATAAACGACAAGGATAAGGTCAACAGTTATCAGTCTGACTGATATGACTGACTGAATATGATGTTCTTCCTATTTAAAGAGTTTATACAAGACCTTTGTTTGCATTCTGATGTCGCATAAATGACAAGGCGGATTGTGCTAGACAGATTAGTATTTTTATAACTGTCTTGTGCTTAGCTCAGCGAAATGCGTTAGCTCGTTCTGGATGCTTCTAACAGCTCCAGTAAAACTTGAAGTCAATGGCCGATGTACAGTCACTTGTGACCAGAAGGTTAGCATGAAGGGTGTCTGACTTCCATGGTTTGCAAGAAGTTCCGAGACTAACCACTCGGATAAACGGTTCAGAAGGAATTGGTGAAATCTAACAAGACAGACAAAACCTGTGATCCACTGGGACGCCGTTGCCTCCTATGAGTAAGTATCGCTAGAGAAAAGTGGTTCTTTCCAATGAGGGTGCTATTATGAAGCGGCTTATCCATCTCCAGCACCCACGCAACTCTCATCAGATTTTGTATCAGGTACCACTTCCCCACCAGGGGACCAATTCGATAGGTATAAAAGAAGAGAAACGTAAAGGCGAGCAATGGAAGGCATATCCGATCTATCGGGCGAATGTTGACTGCTGGGTCAAACGGGCATCAGGCAACCTTTATTCTACAGTTCTCCTCTGTAGCAGAACAGGTTGCACCCGATAGCGAGGATCACAGACGAAGCGAGGGCTGAGTGGGCTAAAATTTACGAGAAATTCTCTGTAAAGTACGACCGTCTAGATGAGTACCCAAAGAATCCTTCATCTTGCACCAACAGAAAACCAAGTTGATGGTCAATGGTCCCCTTGCAGGTTGAATACGTCACGCATGTCCTACCGAAAGTTCGGGCGCATTGAAAAGAATGTTACGTTACAAATAGACAGCGAATGAAACGTGACTGCAACCTTTAGTGTCTCAAACGAGGATAGACAGTCTTAGTGAAGACGAGAGCACCTTAACAACTCACTTCATTCATATCTTCATGCAACCCATCCAGCAGGAAAATGAGGAACTCGAGGCTATCCTGTTGTTCTGAACCAGCGAAAGTGGATCGCGCTCGGCCGACGACTTTCTATGAACGGAAAGAAAAGTCGAATGTATGATGATGACATAAAATGGCCGGAAAAAAAACATAAAGAGCTATAAAACGCACCTTAAATTCGGTCAAATCCTCATAACAATCCAGTTTTGACCAAAGAGCGGTGAACAATCGCCGGAAATGTGTGGACACGGTGCCTCCATATCCCAAAGGATTAGTCCTGTTCATGAAATTGTCGTCCAGTCCACGGAGAAAGAAGGTGGCCAAAGCGCGAGTGTGTGCGAGAGACTGCAACACGGCATTCATATAGCAAGTGTTGCCAAGATTTCGCAAACCGGTGGGTCGGAGATGACAAGAGGGAAACTGGGGTAGGGGTTCTGTGGAATGGAGATGAAAAGCAGAAAGCACACAAGTGAATCACAAAAGAAGATCTTTGCACCTGTATACGAAGAAGCAATCCATTTTTCAAGGGGACGTAACAAAGACGAGCTTACCAGTGACACAGAAGGGGAAAACTCTCCTCTGCGTATTGCTTCTAATTCTGTCCTCCGAAAGTGATTTTCATATGGGAATACACCGAGTTTGCAGTGGAATGCACCATGAATGTTAGATTACACACACGCTGGAATCCTTACTTAGAGAATTGGCGAGCGCCAAGGCTAATTCAGGATTCATACGGATGGACACTCTAGATATCAGGGTAAGCGGTAGGGAAAGAGACTGAGGGAACCCACTGATTTAATTGCGTTGGTTCAGTTTAGTTTGTCAGCTGCATACTTCGAAACGCTGGAGGGATAGCCACGCACTGAAGGCAACTGTCTAACAACCTCGCCGTCGGCGAATGGATACACAACTCTCGTGGAGTCCGGGGTGGAACGGTTACACATTGAAAGCTGTCTGGATTCACGAACACTACTGATTCCCGAGAGCGTGTCTCGATTAGGAGGAGAGTTGTAAACGTGATTGGGCTTGGTCTTCGTAGTCATGTTACACAGAGACTATCCTGGGTTACTCTTCGCTTAGCGCATGGTTTGAAAAGAAGGGTTGTGGGGACAGCTGATCACCCAACATACTAATTATTTGACGTGAACAATGTAATTAACAAACCGATTAAAGCAGAGACCCCTGCTGAAAATCGTCTGATTTGCCTTGGGCATTCCCATCAGAACACGAGAATACCTTCAAAACACTGATTTTGCGCACATTGACGTCACTTCAAGCCCCAGTACACATCGCATATCCCAGTGGACCTGCTGCGATTTGACGGTGCAGTTCCTTCACTCGTGCACCCAGCAGCATTTTTGGCGCCCAAGATCGTAAGATAGGTGCAATACTTTTCCTCCCAGAGAAGCATCCACAAGGGAAAACAGAAGTGATGTCAATCTGAACTCCACTCATCATTATAGGTCTCAGCACAAAGCAAACGGCAACACAGACTGTAGGTTCCTGGAACAATATAATTTAATCGATTTCAGAACGGGAATGTGAGCGAATAATAACTCCCACAATTGTATGGCGATTAAAGTGAGCCAATCAAACCAATGACAACGAAAAGCGAAAACTTGAGATAAAATGGTGAGAGGTAAACCGAACGACATGACCACTGCGCTCAGGAAAGCTAAGAAAACTTCGAGACTGTGTTGATCGCCAACGTTTTCAACTCCCGTAGATGACGCTACATGCACCGTACGGTGGCCGAAAAGAGTGCAGGAAATTACTTCAACCAGCGAATCCGTTATTCTTACCAACTTGTTCATTCTAAAATGTCACCTCGACGGAGGTGTTTCTTCGTTATCTCTACTGAAACAGTTTTTATAAGTTTCAGGGGAAATATTTCAGTCAACTACTCAAGAATGTTGGAGTTCGTGACAGAGACGTCATAAAATGGTGACTCATAAAGTGGTTTTGGCTATTCCAGTCCACCCGGAGGTACTGAGTAATAGATTTTAAAAAGAAGCAAAGAAAGATAAGTAATAAGAAGTCGACAAATTTGAAGTTGCCATGCCCTGTTTTCTCTTATGTTCCGACTCCATTCTTTTCGGTCTGTGATCCAACTATAGCATTTCCCTGAGAAAATGTGCCAAGCACGTAGTGTAGGTTAACGTACCAACCAATCCCGCCTAAGTCGAGTTGAAAGAATCCCGCTAACACGACCGGAAGGCGTTACTTTGACACGAACCGCTTAAGTCGGAAATCGATTATTGAATACGAAACAACGAGGACCAACGAGTATTTCCTTTTCAGTTCTAAGGTTTCGTTCCCCTGAACAGGGTTTCAAAAGAGAAATGCCGTCAGGTGGAGTTCTATTCCACCGACTGCTGACGGTTTATTCTTCGTTTTATTTTACCGTTTCCATTATAAAACTGTCATTCAAAGCAAACAGAGCAGTCACATGGATGGTGATATCGTCGTTTGGGGGAATTTGATTCACGGAACTTCCCACTGAAATCGGCATCGGGTCGTGATATGCCCAGCTCTTGTAGCTGATCACCTACGATTGAATTCAGTGGAGCAGATTCCTGAAATCCAGTTCTCCACCCTCAGGAGATCCACGTTGCGAAACAGACTGTAAAACAAACGCAACTGCAGGAGGCTGTAGGCATAGTTCACTTTCCACTCTACTTAAAAACCACGGTGGTTTCGTTCACTGGCAACCAGCTATGAAGAAAGTTATGCACTGGAAATATATTTTGATGCAAGGCTGCTGATGAAATATCTAATCTACTGCTACACGGGGTACTCGGAATCCCTACACTTTGAAGCTGATAGTCGCGATGTAGTGGGTCACGTGACTTTGAGACCGCTTCTTTCTGAGAGTAACATCTCAGCCACAGTGACCGGCTCTTTGACATTTGAATAACTTGTCCCGGTCAGTTCAGCGGGGCAAATGCGACCCGGTTGGTCTACCGTCAACACTGCTTGCGCATACACACACACAGAGTGCAGTCGATATGATACACGGAAGAAATTTCAGAGATGGAGATGGTAAAACACCGAGAGATGGAATCCTAAATTGGGCAGTTGTTGGAGCATCCAGCACACTGCTGTGGCCTTATTGGGATACAAACTGATGACGTACTACGGTGACAGTTGTTACGTAGAGGTCAACAGAAGTGTCAATAGTCCTTCGGTTTGACATGCGTCACAAATAGTTCACAATTACAACGGTCTAAACAAGCTAGAAAAAAGGTACCTAGTGGCAGCAGGCAGTTAATACACGCATAACAAGTTTGTTTGTTTACTGTAACCGAATGAATAGACGTTTGACTTGTCGATACTGAGTTCTCAACAACATTGATTAGTGCCTACCCATAAGAGGAAACCAAGTAGAAGACAGATACCTGAATCCAACAGGACACCAGGTGAGATAAGAGAGGCCGAAAACCGACCACATTGTACTATCTTCTTGCTTCCAACCAGGCTTACCGATCCGCTTAACATATCGTCAATAGAGGAGCGAAGGAAATGGGGGCAAGAATACCCACACGCCACACAGTAAAAATCAATCGGGATATCACATACTTGGTTGATGGTATGTAGCAGAAAGTGATACGAAAAGAATGACCACAAAGTGCTTTTGACCAGTCAAGGATATATTGACTTATCAAGATGATTTATCAACCAGTTTGGGTCGGAAATGCAGTCACAGCTGAAAGGTCGAGTATGAGATTGAAAAGCTATAAACTCAGGTTGACCGACAAAAACATGGAAAACAGACTATCCTCACCTGTAGAACCGTTTAGTGCAGCTGGGACAGAACTATCCGTCATTTGGGGCTGTGAGGCTACTGAATGGATTGATGCAGGGGTGCCAAGGTCAGTTCCAGATGTTGGAATCTGCGTACAATGAAATAATCGGGGTGAATTCATCCAGAAAATTTCACACAGAACTGACTACAACAGAAGACAGCGATAGTGAGACACCTTGTAACTGGACAGCCAACACGTTCGCCATGAAGTAATGCAACGATAGCTCATCACCTAGCACGTGCTCATATTCACATGTATTGTGATCTGCTGATGAAAAGACAATCCGAATAAGAACGCTGTCTCTAATGTTGTTGGCGACACCTGCGAGCATCAGCCTGTAGCCTGTCTATCCTGCGATTGCCTCACTAACGCTTTGGGATAAAAATGATGAAACCACAAAACGTGAGGAGTATCGGTGAACCGCGAATGGTTGCGGACGGGAAAGAACATGAAAAAACAGCTAGCAGCAGTAGTTTTGCAATATGACACTCATAAATGGGGCTTCCTGAACTTTCTTCAGTATAGTTACCTCTATTTCCATTCAGCTTCCGTGTTGACTGAGCATCATAGCTGCTCCGGTGGAAGTTTGCCACACTTTGAGGGTGTCAACAGTAAGATGGATGGAAGCAGAAATGTCTTTTATCTTAATGAGGTCGCCTTCTAGGTAGTTCAGTGTGCAAAGCTCACTAAAGCAAAGTCGGCTACGTTAAAAATAATAATAATAATTGTTCAGCTGTAGCACCCTTCGGTGTCTAGCTGCCATGCCACCCGAAGGAACCACGAGGGCTGAGATACTGCCAGGTTGCCCAAGCCTAGACAGGGGAAGTCGAGAGCCGGGGGTCGGGTTCGAACCACGGATCTTCCGGTCAGAAAATTCGCGCTCTAACCACTTGAGCCACCTCGCCCCCCTACGTTAAAAAAGCCAGTGATAACGGAGATGAAGCCGTACGAAGAATAAATCATCATTTGAGGGTGCATACATCAAAGTATCCGATTGGGACTACGTAAGGAATTGTATTGGAGTTTACTCAATTTAGGGCATTTTCGAAAGCATCTCTACAAGTTCATAGTACGGTTGACTGATAAGTTATAGCGCACACGGAACGTCGATATGTCTGAACTCGAGAAGGAAGTGTCAGACGTCAGTACTCACCAGCAGCCCCGACAGTGCTATAATAGCACCTTGCTCCATCGATTGCTAAATAAATGCTATCGCACACAAATGGAAGGGTCTCGCAAGAGCAGGAAGGTCAAAAGGTGCGTTGACACTTGCATGATGCTACAGTGACAAAGTAGTCCTGTAGGACTCTCAACGTAACTGCAAAACTGACTGACTTGTTTACGGCTGTATTAATCGCTTTACATTTCAAAACTTATCTCTACTACTGATTTTCCTTTCATCTTGAAATTTGGTTTCAGTTGCTTCATATATGTGAAGAAGAAGAGGGCGTCGATCCGCTGTGATGCTGGTGATCGCAGGACGTTTATGAAGGCATCCCTAACAGGCTGATCACCCAACACGGGGTCGTTTGCGGCGCGCAACGGTTGAGTGGAATAGCACATTTACACGTCAGTCACAGTGACACTTTCTGACAGCCACATAAGATATGGAATGGGGAAGAGGTTAAGTCAACTAGGAACAATCTGTGTTGATTGTGGCAGACAAAAAGACTTAGGTCATCCATGACGAACGACAGTTATAGAGTTCATTTCCACAGCACTCGTTTGAACGGTTCTCCTGTGCTGGAACTGGTAATTCTACACCAAAGGCAGGGAACCATTGGACTCGAGTCTCGCTCTCACTATAGCTCATCAACCGGGTTTGAACTCTGGACAGCTCACATGTGAAGCGAGCATGTAGCCACTGCTCCACGAGTTGGGCGCATACCACGTCCGAACAGAGGAATGCGTTCGCGCTTGAGCGATGTGATTCGTTTTCTCGACACCTCGAATGACGAACAAGAAACTAACCCATTTGTGCAGATCGCTTGACCGACCTATTAGGTTTTATCAATCAGGTAGTACCACGGGTGCCTGAAGCCTGCGTCAGTAAGTGTTCATATAGTAGTCGAAACATCACCGCCTCACATGTCGGATGTCCCAGCACGGCCACGCACACATGTCATGCTAATGAACTTCAATCGAAGCGCTTCCATCCCCCAGCTAAAACAGGGAGAGGACTGCTCAAATGAGATATGGACGTAAACTCTACATACCCCGCAACCACCGACGGCTATAGGTGTTGTCACACGATAGCGCGTTGCCTTGCGGAATGTCAATGAATCAAGACAGGCGGCGAGTGACATCACGTAATGAAACCATGCAAACAATCAACACTGCGTCATTTGGTTCACGTGTGACCGTCAGAAGTAATCAAAGTTCTTCGTGTTTTAAATAAAAAGGTTCAAAACTTTCGTGTACCGACAACCTAGAGTGTAGGCAGGAGGAACAGTGCAACAGCTTCCGTATTCTGATTTGACTGGTTAAACAGGTCGATGGAATAATGATGTAATCCAGCTGAACTGTACAGATAAAACTGGATACCAGCTTCCTCTCTTAAGTAAATTTTCAGCTCAAGGAATGAAACTATGAAACTATTACAACAAAATCAGGGTTTTATGGTGACCATTCAGCGAACTGTGTGAACCTTGCTACTCGATATACCCACAAAAAAAGCGTCGAGCTGAAACACCCTTTCGGTGCTAGCTACCAAGCCACCCGAAGGAAGCACGATGGCTGGGATAACTGCAAGCCGCCCAAGTCTGGACAAGGGAAGTCGAGAGGCAGATGGACTTTCCAATCAGTAAATCCGCGCTCTAACCATTGAGCCACCCCCACAAGAAGTGCGCTTTCTGGGATACTCTTCTGATAACTGATCAATGTTGTAAGGGGGGTCTTTCTTGGTTAACTTTTTTTCGTAACCTCCGTGATGTATGCTAGACGTAGCAACAAGTCTTGTGTTTTTATTGGGTTTAGGCACGCACGTTTTTGTTGGTCAAAAAGACTATTATATTTTATTCAAATTTTCAGGTGGTGTAAAAAAGAAAAATTCCACAAATTTCTGTGCTAGATGAATCCTCAAATATGAGAAAAATTTTGAGACCCGCGCACAAGTCCCAAAATAAATCGCTCAAACATTCCACTACTACCCCGATTATCACCCTTATTCTCCCAGGTGGACACTGAATCCTTGCTGTACTATCCGAATTTGTCTGCAAGGCTTTAACTGCAGTTATGTTGGTTATCCTAGTATCCTATGTTTCTGAACTACCTAGCAATTTCTCCAAATAGACAATTCATGCTTTTATGAGGTAACTTATACTAGTCGTCCCATCGCTAACGTGCGGCTGAATCCACCGAAACTCGTGCGGACGTAAGCGTAGCAACTGAGACGCAACGCGTGGGACCAACCGCATAGATAAGTTTAGAGCTGAACTAACTCTCCAACGGCTCACACTAGTACGACAGTGACGAGATACAACCCTGTTATGCTAAAACTGAGATAACTGACCGATTCCAGTTTTTCAACCATATTGCCAACGAACGCGAGTTACCAATCTAACCTTGTCTGTCCTTTTATGACGTCCTTGAAGAATAAGCATCATCATCAAATATTTCAACATGCAAAGCACAGCAGAGTGGGATACGAAGTCCAGTCGCTATTCACTAATCAGACATCAAAATTTAATCGAACAAAAATGCGACAGCATCTCCTACTGGACCAGTGGTCGTGTCTCCGTCGAGTAGTTTTGGCCGGAAACCATAGAAGAGCAACTCGGGAACGGTTTCATTGGACAGGACAGTCAGAACCAGCGGTCAGCGCAAAAACCGATATCTATCTTAAACGCCATTCCAAACACATGTGATCTCACCTTCATTCCAACGGTCTCATCTGACGACACCCGTTTCGATTGAGCCAACGAAGATTCGGAAGTGCTGAAGTGAAAACATGGAGAATTACGATACTCCTAAATAAAACATCATGCATTATTGGCTACTGACCAGAGTGTAGAAATTCGAGGGGGTTTGTAGAATGCATCCTATGAGTGACCCGACGAAATCAGGAAGAAAACATCAATGTTCAAAGTAACCTAAATCGAGTTTGAAAAAAGAAACCACGATTAGGGCCAATCGTCCCAAAGCCTGAGGAGACAATTAAGCCATGATCCATATATGGGGAAACAGACGTTAAAATATGACGGTTAGCAATCGATCGATTACAAACGAGGATCATTCACCCTCAATGCATTTCTATTCAGACCTTGTTACGCTTAGGCTGTAAATGGGTATAATAAATGCATTCTCATCGGATTGCACTGATACATGTTGCACTAATTTGATTTGGCTCAGATCCCATAAATGGTAGTAGAATCCAGGGAATAATACTCGAGATAGGCTTGTGGTTACGGATCGCTCAAAGTTACTTTACAACAAAAGAACCTTGTCCTGAAAAACATGGATGGAATGTGAAAACTTAATGTGCTAATGAAGCGCGGGTTTTGTTGTCGATGACGATAAAGACGATGGTCGAGTGGTGCGGGCATAGACATGATCAATTACAAGGTTAGTATGGGAGCCGGATCGAGAACTTCGTCGCCAGCAGCTGTCTTTATCCACATCTCGGCATATCACTTCGAAATACGGGACAGTCAAGGAAATGAAGCCCTTGTTAAAGCTCGAAGAAAACGAAAAATAGACCTAACCCTATGTTTGACGGTGATCCTGCTCAATGACCCACCTTTGTCCTCTTACTGTCTAATGCATGTTCCAGTACGAGTTCGAGACAGCTCAGTGGTTAGGGCACGAACTTACTGACCAGAAGGTGCGTGGTTCGAACCCAAACTGTGCATCTCAACTGCTCCTTGAAATGAGAGATCCGTAGTCACCGATAATGAGTCCTCCCTAAACTCATACAATGGATCGATCCAGTTGCCTTCCTATGGGGTTCCTTGTATGAACTTACTCAGGTCCATTAACTGGTGTTCCCGCCAAAGTTGAGAGGGCCGCCGCCGATAACGACGGTGAATTCAGTCCAGGTTTGCGACTTCGATCAATCTGTGGACATGTAAAGGAAGAGGTTTCCTGACAGAAAAAATAGAGCGGCGCGCCGACAGCTTGACAAACAACTGGCTGATCGTTGGCTAATGAGTATGCCTTAGTAGCGAGAGGGTAGTTGCAAAAAGATAAACTGCGCCATCGGTTAAAGGCGTAACCAATCCACTCTAGTTAACCAACCTTCAAATATGGTGTATGGCGTACAGGGTAAGCGCAACACAGCGCAGTTAAGTTACCGGTGAACGTCACAGGAACCACCCGTTTTCGAACTGACGTGAATACGGAACCAGCTAGGAAGTGATTATCCCACTCAGATATATGAGAAACTACCAAGGCAACCGACAGGACACTGAGAAAAAGTCATTGGGTCTATGGTGTCATAGAACACACCGCTGTACGGTAAATCTTGACTGACATCGAGTGTCTTCTTTTGCTCTCCAAAGACTCCACCACTGTCAGAGGGGGAAGATGGCCCTCACAAAAGTAGGTCTCCGAATTTCAGTTAGAGTATACATTCCGTTATACTGAATTAGTCTAGAAAGGAACAGGCAGAAGACTGTCACGCGAATAGTACTTATTGCTGGTCGTAATCACCAAAAGGGCAAACATTTACGAAAGACATGATTGCATCACTAGCATGCAAAAAACAGCACTCTTTTGAATGCGAACTTATGCGTTCAGCACAGTGTCATCACTCCAGACTGATGGAAATCGGTGTGTCGCCCAGTTATCCAAAAGTCAACCGGATGTCCGTCTGAGAACTGAACTACGTCATCAGACTGAGCCGAATGCCAATGGCGCTCATAACAGCGAACATGAGCTAAAATAGGAAATAGAACTTAGCACAGAAGGCCACTGTCTCGCGGCTTTCGGCTGTGGTACCTTTTCGGTGCATATCAACCTTGTAACCAAAAAGAAGTGAGAAACTCCGAAGTTATCCAAGCCTACACAGGACTAAGCGAAGGGTAACGGCTAAACTTCCCTAGGTTTTCTAGCTAGAAGCTCGCACCTAAACGACTGAACCACTCGAAGCTCGACCGTCAATGTGTGGACCACGGCGCGTAAGTGGCACGCAAATAGTCGTAAAACTCAAAGTTACGACTGTAAATCGGTGTCACCTGATATAGCTACTTCCGGTCACCCTGTGGGCCCTGACATAGACAAAAGGCATCCGTAAGTACTCACTCTTCTCGAGCTAAAAAATAAACTATAGTCGTACGTACTTTTGGCACCTTCTCTTTATCAGCTTCAGGCGGAATTGGACAAGCAATGCTGGTTTTTGGCTTGACTATGCGAAGTTTGCGCAACCGCTCATCTAAGTCGAGTGTAGCCAATGTGTCTTCCGAACTATCCTCCACTGGAGCGGGTTCGGCAGCGGTCGTCTCTGAAGATGTCATTTGATATTCGGTTCACCGAGACTGCTGCTATCTTCAGCCTCGTTCGAGCACGGTCGTGGCTCAGACGCAGAGACCTCAGGTTCGACTGGTGCGGGTTCGCTAACATTCAGCTGCGGATAATCGATGCGACCAACTGAAGAGTAGAACATGCAGGTCAACACAAGAAAACGTCTGCCATGGTTAAACAATATCAACTTTACTTCATATTTTTTGGTTATACGGAAAATAATCAGAGTAATGCCGGCATTTGAAAATTTGCGCGGGGCTGTCGATCGAAACTATCGAGGCGATTCATAATGCACTACCCATAAGGCTGCTGAAAATTTTTCGACAGCCCACGACCGGTTTCGCCCTTCTTGGGGCTCATCAGGTAGGCGCAACCCCCGAGTTTCCGTCAACTTTATGTTCTACTTGAAACCAATTTTCGGGAAATGGGCGAAGTGCACTCATTTGCAAACTAATTTGGTTTTTCAGAAGACTCGCCTGGAACCCAGCTGAATCTCTGCCTGGAAACATCACAAACGAGAGATTTAGCTGGGTTCCAGATGAGTCTCTCGCAAGACAGATTTGCTTGCAAATGGGTGTACTTCGCTAATATCGGGATGACTATTAGGCCATTACTCAAGGTTGCAGGCGAAGCACGCAAATCACTTAACTTTTAACACGTTCAGCTGATCAATTAGGTTGAATCAAATGTGACAGATACTAAGAGAACGAAGACAATACTCGGTATGATGGGAGAGGTGTTCTATTGACGAGATCTGACTGGAGCAGAAGATAGGTTTAGCGCCATGGATAGATGGCCAACATCCAAAAGTTCCAATGCATCTGGTCTTCATAGTTCTGGTCGCATGATGTCGTCAACCTTGGCTACAAACGAATCCTTGCATATTAATTTACATTGTTAAAACCCCGCAGTTGAACAAAACAAAAATGTAAACATTCCGCGATATATTCAATGAGGGTTGAAATAGATCACTTTCGACGGTTCCTTGTGCGTACCTTATTGACTGGATTAACAAAAGGTAATCGACAGTAGTGTGACCTACGGAAAAATGCTCAGAAGAGTGAAAAGTGTATCCAATTCGGGAAGTCATTCACTGCCATGCAGATAGGCATACCTTGATCAGGATCAACAGGATATCACTGCGCTAGGTTTATCGGAATCCAAGTAATAACTTAATCAGAACTCCAAGAAGAAACACTCTGGCCATAACAGATCATTCCGAAAATAAGAAGTTCAGAAGAGCATTATCAAATATTGTGCGCCCTTTCGAAGCATTGGAAATTTGGGAAAGAATGTCGACATAGCTTATGACCAGGGTGTAAAATTAGGAGATTACTATCAAAGTATATACTAACGGAGTACCAAGAGTGGTGTGGGGAGACCTGACTGAGGACGTTAATGTCTTTATTCTTCCACTATGCGGAATATCACTGAACCCAAAAGACCGACAAGACATGATTCATCGTGAAGGAAGGGGTTTACCGCATAAGAAAAAGTGTAAAGTATATATCAAATCACCCGTCGGGAGATTCACGCGTCCCTCGTCCGACCGGTTGACCAGCTCCATACGGTGTTGTGGGTTGCTAGTCAAAGGTGCGTAACGCAACAGGAACTGATGCATGCCGCCCAAAACCAAACGAGGCTCTTTCGTGACAACACGCTGTGCATCCCACTAGAAACACAAACGGAGACAACAGACAGAGCATAAGTAGATGCAATGTCTTCTTCTGAAACTTAGTAAAATGACCCCGAATACTGGGATAAAAATGTACGGTGAGTATCAGCATCTCTGAGTGATTCGATATCAGGATGGAGTTCAAAAAGAGTTCACAGTGTTCCATCAGTTTTGCTCTTTAGGCATGAGAAGGTCGGTGATCCAACCGTAGTCCATAACTGTCAAATAGAGTACATCATGAAAAGTTAATCAGGAATCACTCAATTGGCCTTAGTGCTAGCGTCCACGCTTCGTTCAGGGCAGACGTGAATTGTTTTTATTCTAGGTACTTACAAGTAGTCAGATTTTTAAGAACAAAATTCACGACCCAGAGACCCAGTCGGCAAAGTCACACACCGCGGTGTGAATCAAACAAGCTAGGGGAGCGTTTTCTGAAAATGAACCTCCAGAAAAATAGTGGGACTTTTCCCAATAACAATACGAGAGTGTCTGAAACGAAATTATGAGCTATACACAGTGTCAATTACCGCTGTGGGACGCAGTTATCGACGAAAGGAATATAACTGGTTGGCATTAGTTACGGGAATAAACATGAACTTCACCTTGAAAAGTGCATCTTTCAGCAGACGCAACGGATGTGTCCTGGGCAACACTTTTTCAACCGGCTTCTCAGTGGAGTCCTCCGCACCAGATTCCTTGTCGACCAGCACAACAACCTCAGCTTCTCCTCGACGATTCCACAGGTCTTTATAAGGGCCCTGAACAATTTTTGAGGACAACTGGCTAAAGGTCGTCCTGGAATTCAGAAAACAATATTGGTGAACATGGGGGAACTAAAGTATGAAGGAAGATTCCTCGTGTAAGGAGGGCTGTTTTTGAGCCCAAGTCTCTAAATGGCTCTTGAGACGACTCACGGGAGCCAAGAGTCCCGAGCGGGAGAAATTCACCGCAACTACTAGCTTCAATTTAGCATTATACTGGGCTCACCGTAAGAACCCACAGAGATATGGGGACACACTAAAGCACGATGAGGGGGTCTGCGACCAGTCCCTGAGGGTCCTCTAAAGTTGAATTTATAAAACTGTAGAATAAAGTAGTCTGGAATTGAAAGAAGCCATATCGCATCCCTTCAGTATGCAATCGGACGAAAATACAGATAGTCGTCAGTTCAGCCAACCCTGATGGGTGTCATTGGGGGGTCTCCATTTCTTCTACGGAACACGAGATTTGGCATGGGAAAAAAGTTATGCATGAATGAGGCTAAGTACTTCCTGTTCACTAGAAAGGGTTAATCATTACCTCGCATCCATTTCTTTACGGAACACGAGATTTGGCATGGGAAAAAAGTTATGCATGAATGAGGCTAAGTACTTCCTGTTCACTAGAAAGGGTTAATCATTACCTCGCACTCTACATTAAGGGTAATTAAGGGATCTACCAAAACCTGCACCTGCTGCCTACAATGGCCGTTACCTCTGATAGGATTTCGGGGGCAAGTTTCATACTTTCAGGAAGTTCTTTTCGCAACCAGGATAAACACGAGGTTAAACTCAAATAAAACGAGTTCAGAGGGTATACCTCACTGTGTGACTGAATTCCGAGCGGCGGTCTTCCTGAACAAGTCAAGTTTCAGAACAGTTTGACCAATATCATCTCATCACCAGATTCGCTCGTTCGGTCAGTATTTTCGAGGTCTTGAGTGAAGAAGAGCCCAAAGCAAAGTTTATTGGTAACGAAAGAATGGCTACGAAGCTGGCCATCTCAACAAGAGGATTAGACTCAAAGATTAGGCCCAGCTTTTGGAAGCCATGGGATATGTTGTTTATTCGACGGAATTGACCGCAGCAAATATCTCGGAGCAAAAGTATGGATACCCAACACAGTCCTTCCAAACGGTCTTGCCTTGCAAGGCATTCGTAAACCTTTTCTAGTTAGCATGAATCTTACAGCACTTTCTCGCTATTACGACTTCGAGCGACAAGTGAATTTCATCGCATTTTGCATGAGAGGAAACAGTCACACTCCCACATTAGAGTGAATATTCGTACAACACTGAACAGCACAGATCTAAATAGGAATGAAATCATCCATCTGAGATGACAGACGTTACAAAATGATCTCCATTCGACGAGTCTTGAAGTGTTGCGGTGTTCAACGATCTAGATCCACTCTAGTTTGATAACATGGGCGACCCAAAAACAATTGTGACCACAGTAACCCTCCGTGAGGAAACACTAATGTCAGCCCAACGATTCTGGTGGCTTTTCCATTGCAACCTCTAAATAGAATCAAAGAGAAGATACCTGCTGGCTTTCTAGAGGTTGATTACTTTCGAACGGTAAACGCTGCAAGTAAAGCGCCATGTGCCACTGACCCGTATGTACTAACAAAATTGAACATCCGATGCTGTAATCAAAGTCGATATACTATCTTGTCATATCCTTCTCTACTGGACTGGACTGAACTTGGCTTGCAAGGGTGCAATGGCAGTACTATTCATTTAAACATCGTGAACATAATTTATAAAGGCAAAATCTGAAAACGAAATGCAGTACGCCAACTCGACAATCTTTATAACAGGTCTTGGAAATGCAGTTCTTTGAGCTCGATTATGTGACTCAAATTACCGTTCCTATTTAACATGCAGACAACCATATCAAAGATTGAGCAGATGAATCTAAATTACCAAAGCTGTTTACAACCCCAGAAAGCGTGTGACGGAGTCCTTATTAGCCAACCCCCTCACGAGGAAACACTCTCATTCAGATATTTCGGTTCCCTCAAGAGGGTGGTAATTAGTATTTGCATTAGTTCAAGGCAGGATTTTCTATATTTCAGAACGACGAGTCAAGGTCAGCTGCCTGTCAAATAATAAGTGCGCATTGGATCAGCAAGGGTCACTTCTCAGCGTTATTTCCAAGTATGCTGTTTCTAAGGATGGACCCTGAGGCACTCAACAGGCATTTAAGGGGTCGAATACCACTACTTAGGTAGTTGCCATACATGAGTAAGGTGGACCTACCAAATCTGCAAGGCCCGTCGACCTTCGACTTGAAAAAGTCCCAAAAGTTAGTCTTAAGCTCCATTTTTAGCAGCACTTCGCATGTGAGTTGACGCTCCCCTCGAAGGATTCTATTCTCTGTGGGACAACGGAATTCCTAATGGGCCCTATACTTGAAAGAGATGTCGAACTATGACACCCTTATGGAGCATGCAGACCCAAATTGAGCAAGTCTACGCAGGAGCGAACAGAGTATCAGAAATGCATTCGAACCATAGACCTCCCAGTCAGAGACAATAACACCATCATCACGAACGCCGTCCTGTCTAAGCTTGGACAACCTGGTAGTTTCTCAGCCCTCGTGCTTCCATTCGGCCGCATGGCAGCTCGGCATTAAGAGGTTGTTACAGCTGAAAGATGCGTAGCTCATGAACACAGACATCAACACCACAGATGAGTACCGATACACACTGTATAGCCCTTCAGTCCTATCGAGACCTAAAGTATGACGGAGAGAGACTGCACTCTCCCACTAAGTGAACAACACCTTTCCCCAAACGTCCTCCACAATACCAGTCTTTTTGAGTCTTAAAGCTTCATTAGACTTCAGGAAGTTTTCCAGAGATAAAATAGCGTCTACTTTTAGAAGTTCGAAGTAAAGGGCTTGGTGATTAGTCTGGGTAAAAGTTCATTACAAAGCGTGTCGGGATAGGGATAAAACGATAGGAATTTCCGCTATATGATGACATACAACCAGGGAAGCACTACTGAGTGTTCGAACTGACAATCGTTTGTCAGCAAAGCAGCTCTACAGACTCACAAAAATGATGCGCACTAAGTACACACAAAAGCAATGGACAATTTACCCGGTCAGTAGAAATCTATCCGCAGGAACATTTAACAACTGCTTCCATTTCAGATGGCACTCGTTGTACTCTTCCTCCGGTCGAATATCAATCACAAGAACGTTACATTTCCGTTTCAAAAGACCAGCCAATTCTTCCACCGAAATCCAACCATCGTTTTTCGACGGGGCCATGGAAGATTCTGTATCACACGACGGTTTTTGTTCTATTAGGGTGGTGAAGTTCGCGAAAGCTAGGCGCTATACCTGTGGTCTTGATCTCTAAAATTGGATCTCGAGGCGGAGATGGAAGTCGAAGAGGAGTTGGGCTGCGTCTTTTCGGCAAATTGTCATACCTCAGTTTCAAACTTCCATGTAGACGCTCCAGGTAGTCCATTGCTAACAAGCACTGTTTTTTGAAACTGGGAGTGAAGACAGTCGCCTACACATAGTTCGAAATTACACAGACACAAAATCGATTTACCTTGGCCTTGCTTCCGGAAGTTAGCTTTTTAAGCTCCTCGTAAAAGTCGAAGTATCTCCTGAATAGAATGTAAGCAACTTCTTCGTCGATTTCACGACATTCGTCTGCCCGGCGAAAGCATTCAAGCATGATTTTCTGAGCTTCTTGAGGGGATGTGAACCGCATTGGGACGGGAATAAGTTTGTTCAAATCTGATAAAGAAGTGGCTTTGTACAATTCTCTTTTGGGCATTTTTATTCCTTACATAAAAATAAGAAGTTCATCGACTCTGAAATGGAAGATGAGTTGGATGGGAACACGGCAAAAAAGGACGAGAAATTGGTCAAAACACCTGGAAGTGTAACTCTGAACAGATGCCGTAGAATGCCATCACGAGGATCCAGAGAGTGTCACCAAGTTATATATCATCAACGCCAGTGACAGCCACATGAGCGAAAAACGTTGGTACTACACTGCCATCGAACAACATCAATTCATTTAATTAGGGCCTCACAACGGACAGAAAAACTAGAAATGAGCGGGGACACATAGTTTGCCCACTACAAAACCCCGGTGATTGTACCTCAAACACGATCTGGATGGAAACTGACATGACACTCACTATCATCGGTTAGCCATCATGTCCTTCAACACCATCAGGCAGCCACAATAGTCACGCATATCCCTTCTGTAAGGCGAACAGCGTCAATTGCACCCAAACGTTTCGTAACAATCATCATTTCCTTCTTCCAAGCAATACTTAGACAATAACTACGTTTTCGCCATTCCAAACTAAGCGCAAAAAGTGTTCCCCTAAGCAGACAGTGACTCGAAATGTGTGGCAAATGGGATACTCAAGGAAGATGTCTGCTGCCTAACCAAACGATAGTAACCTAACCTTTTCACAGCGAATTCGTTAGTTCCACCCGATTCCAGCTAAAGTTCTGAGGAATGGGTGGAAAGTACTCGAAACACAGATTTCCTGTTACAAACTTCAAGAAAGCGCAGAGAATTAAGGTCAGCTATGAGGCCGGTAACAACCGCACACTCGCCTACGGATTTGAATTCGTATTCGAGCATGAAGGGGTGGAGGTACCCCTCAATTCCGCTAAGGTAAATGGCTGAGCACTCACAAGCGAAAAAGTTAAACGAGATCGGAGACAACGTACTGAGGTAGCAGAACTTTGACTGCTGGGTTGAGGATTTGATGGTAGGTGTAGATAGCTGCATTTTTGGTGGTTCATTTAACACCTGAGGTTAGACGTTGCTCTAACAGGTCATTTAATTCATCTCCTCTGAATTTCAAATTAACAAGAAACTCTGATTTTACGACTGATCAGACTAGTTCCTTAATCAGCCAAAGCATGCAGTGGTGGGTGCCCATCTGGCTGAAACTTCCCGTGCATACTTTTAAATCCATCGATGATCGTATCCCCCTTGCAAATTCTTCTTCGTCTATTGCGGTGTCCTAAATGAACCTCTTTTATGGCGTATGGGCAAAAACCCAAAGAAAAGCGGGTTTTCGGTGAAGTGACTAACGAAGTGTTCCATCGCTTCGGCCAGTCAGTCAAATAGAAAGGAAGACAATTGTGTAATTCACCTCCTGCTCGACTGTTAACTTGATGCCGTGCTGAGCTGTGCTCAGCATTTATCATTTATCATGTGAAGACCAGTATATCATGTGTAGACTTCTGTCAAACCAATGAGACACTCCAGTAAACGCAGCGAAATATTAGTATCAATACTGATGTTGCTGTTGCTGTCCCTGATGGTGACTCACATCTTACTCAGATAACTGTTTCAGTGACGAAGTCTGTTGTCTATTCTCGATGACTGCCTTATTTTCCGTGACGGGATTGTCGTTCCCATCAAAATTAGCCGCCGGGTCTAGGTTGAGTTACATAATGGACGTCCAGGGTTGGAGAGCATGAAGACTGTTTATTAGTCCGGTGTTGATGAACATATAGGGCGGATATATTGAAGTCATTCCTGGTGTACACTCGTCCAGAGTTTACCCAAATGACGATCAATACAGCCTCAAACACAACCAGAAAAACCATGGTCACGCAACTATGAGGATTTCACCGGAATGATAAACAGAAATCTTTCTTGACGCTCCCAGTAAGTGACCTGAGGTTTTTGTTATAGTTGGGATGACGATAGCGATCATCGCTAAACTGCGGCATTTGTTCAAACCTTCAGCCTCCCCGAAACGATTGTGTCCAACAGTCGTATTCAGTTCACATTCCACCAATTTGGTGATTTCGTCCGAAAGCTCGACATTACACATATTGCTTCCTTAGCATTCAATTTGCAGTCCAACGGTCGGGTTGAGGTTCGTGGATACCTGCGCACAGATACACACACACTTTGGCAAAGGCAAAAGGGGAGGGGTCCACGGTAAGACTCATGCAGACTATCATATTGAACTATCAACTCGCAAGACGGTCGCTATCCGGCAGGACAGGCGTTGAGACGCCATCCCGTCCACACTTACGTGCTCTCAATCAGTCATAGAAAGTCGACGTTCCCACCTGGGAGAGATAATCATCTTGGTTACTGATATTGGAGAGTCAGAAACATCCGAAAAAGAATCGATCGGGTGGTTTAAAGCGTCTGGATGGGTCACTATACTTGAAAGGCACGTTAACCAGCTGCAGCCAACTGAATGCCCGATTCGAAAAGGTCAACAGCAGCCAATGGAGCTCATACCAACGATGCTCAAGTATTCAGGCGTATCCTAGGGGCGATGCTAACGAATCACCCAACGACAACTGAACAGCCTTGATTTGGGATCAAAATGCGCCCCATGTAATTTTAAACAAATTCGATTACAATGAAGCTCTTGCGTTCTTGCTGAGTGAGTCTGTGGTTTGCAGTCAGCCTACTCCCCACAGCTTTTTCGCCACCAAGAATTCGCATTTGAAAACATCGCCGGGCATGAGAAATACATGTTCTCACCAATTCAAAATACACTACTCTATCGATTCCTAGTCGTGCGTTGACTTCCGAAATACGCATAGTGCTCTACAAATTTCGATGTCTCCTTGATTACTGTTAAGCATGCCCAAACACTTATTCTGGATGCAGCAATTCGCACTCTTTGGGCACGTGACTAGGTGATACTGATAGGCATGTTAAGCATAAACACTTATTCTGGATGCAGCAATTCGCACTCTTTGGGCACGTGACTAGGTGATACTGATAGGCATCGCTAGTGATGCTTGCGCCGTCTCCTTTTCAAAAACAAGTACCGTCTGCAAGCTCCATGTAGAAAAGTTTCTCCTCTAAAGAGATCTGAACACGGAGGTTGCCCCAGAGTCCGCCTCATTGCCTCATCAAGGCCAATAGTAAACAAAAGTTGAGAGAGATGAGACCTTTTCAAGCAATACTACACACAGGACCTTAAGTTTCCATCATGACGCTGTGTTCGACTTAGTGCTGCATTGATATCGCGGGCTACACTGTGTGGCACTTCGTTCCACAAGGTACAAACACGCCAGGAAGGCCAACGGAGAGCACTAAGATCAAGAGTTGTGAGACCCCGTACTATGAGTAAACGTAATACGATGCGGTTTGGGAGTAAAGGCATGCTGTCCTCCTCGATAGGAGTATGAAGACAGGCGACCACCATGCCCATATTCATGAAAGCAGCGATGCTCCTTCCCCGAGGAAGGACGGGTTAAAACAGGGCCTGACCGTGACCACCAGCGCATTACTCAATACGGTCGAAATACTTTTAACACCAAAAACCCAGGTGTTGCCCAAAGAGGATGCATTAATCATATTTTCACCTCCCCCCCCCAACAGGTTCTGGAAGAGCAGCACTGCTTCCAGGAAACCAAAAATGGTTATTTCCCCTGATTTGAGGGCTGCCTTTGACTCTGTGGACCATCAGGCATTATAACAGTGTCCGTGGAGCAAGATTCCCCAATAAATTCTTGACCCTCTGTAAGGCGGACGCGTGAAGGTCTACGGAGTGCCCTCAACGGAAAGCTCTTCAACTTCATAATTGATGGGATAATGGAAGACATTATCAGCCTCCAATGCCTATGGGGTCGAAATGCTCCCAGGGTATTCGCTTACGGTTATCCAGTATGCAGGCGATATAGCATTCTTGGATTTAACACCGTGTTAATGCAAACGACATTAAACAATCTGGATAATTCTGCCTCAATTTGGCGTTTGCTTCACATTTACACAGTGTAAAGTGCTGCTGCAAGACTGGATGAGCTCGAACCGTAGCCTCATGCTCGCAGATGAGCCGGTTGAGATGGTAAACAAAGTTTTCTACCATGGTAGCTTAATCAGCCATACATAGCCCGTCACACATATATGTTAAAAAACTGTGTCTGACAGCTGACTTCTTCGGATTATTCCCCGAGACTGGCAGCAACAGGGGGTTATTAACGATGAAGCAAGTCAAATGGTTTCCGGAAGAAATAACTCACCCGCAATAGATGAACTGATCGCACTAGCTTCGCCGCGTGTTTCAGATAACCAACCTTGAAAGTTTCTTTTCGCACAACAACAGAAAAGGTGGCAGCGAGACATGGGGTTCAAACAAAAACTTGGTAGCGACATATGAAGGCCATTGCCAGCAAACTCAGATGCGCTGGTAACCGCCGTCTCCGTGAATGGAGAACGGACACATCAGTGGTTGGAGACATCGTCAAATATGGTCCGTTTTCGTCCTCAATGGCGCTCGTTCAATGCCCCCAATACGAAGCTATCTATCCTACCTCCCCAAATCATCGGCAAACGAAACTGTGGCAGCTATGAAAACTGTGAGGCAAGTATGAGATTTTTACAACCGACTATGATGATGCAGGAATACAGGAAAGCTCCCAGTAAAACCACAAACCCACAAGCCTGTAAATACAGAAATTATACACCGTTGTTTTAAGCTGTTTAGATAAACGAGAAGCATCTCATTCTAGTCATGCCACCAACAGTTCCAGTCAGACAAGATGAATCGCAACGTATGTAAGAATAGTTGGAATGGAAACACGCGTGTCAAGACCAACAACTGAGGAAAGGACGTGTAATTCTGATTGCACTATACGGCGCGATAAGCGCTAGCACAGTCGAGACTCGCACATCAGGCACAAGGTGTCCAACATACTATGTCTGGTGCGAGATTCAATGGCAAGAATGTACGCTCAACGTCATGTACCACACATAAGTGTCGTAAGTACGCAGACAACCCGCAAACGAACACAAGCTACTGATTGTGACTTTAGGAAGTCCTA